AGGAGAAGGTTTTAGTATAATAATTAACCGATTTCAAAAAAAGATGAGGTAGGTCGATTTTTTTAAACAGAGCTTATAAAAGAATTATTTGGAAATAAAAAGTATTACATTATATTTTTAACTCAAGTCACATCGATTACAGTTTATAGTATATATAGCTATCATGTTTCGCAATTTTCTACCATCAGACATACAAAACATACACAATATGAAAAGTAAATGTGCTCAATACATACCGATAACATGATTTTATCGTAACAAAAAACTACCGAAACCTACTTTTTACGGACTTCCCGTGACCTCGACTCCTGAAAACGGCTGTCAAATGAACGGAATCCATTCAACTTGCTATATAAATCAAGTCTTTTCCAAAAGGTCAGTCGTACAGTTAGGTGGAAAGTATTTTGTAGGTTTTATAACAGTATGATAGTCGTGATTTCGTCTATAAATAATGCTGCTGTTTTTTATGGGATAAGTCGGTAAACGAGCAGACGGATCACCTGATGGTAAGCAATCGGGGTCGTCTACGGACGTCTGGAACACTAGAGGCGTTACAAGTGCGTTACCGGCCTTTTGGAGATTAATAATTTGGGGATTGTTGGTTTTTGTAGGAAGAGGTTGTTTCTATTGGTTTTCATATCATTGATACTAAGTATGCTTAATAGTCTTGAGCAGTAGAACATTTACAAAGATTTTAGTGTTAGGCTTGAGAACAACACCGAATGACGGTGATATTACATGTTATTCTAACTTATAAGTTTCCATTATTTATCATTCTCTTTTATGCGTATTATGGCATTAATAAAGTCAGGATTATAGCCAGTAAATTAATAAAATAAGTGCTATACTAATATCTTTGAACAGCGCATTATTATTATGAAACTTTACACAAGAAAAACTCAATGAGTCACAAATCGCCCACGAACCCCTCGACATTTAGGTACTAGCCTACAATTTTTGAACATTACTGTACAGAAAAAAAGTAAAACATCTGTTGTCGACGTACGCTCGTCAGACTGGGTGTGGTTCCACTACACGCGATCTGACGACCACAATGGCTTTCCCATGAGTCAACCAATCCCGGGAAATAGTAGTCGTAGGCCAGTATGTACTTTGTGTAGTAAATTGCAGTAGTAAACTGTTTGTGAATCATAACTTCATGAACTTAGACATTTTGTGCTGTAAAATAATTTTACATTAAGTTTTATGTACCTACCCAGAACCTACATAAATCTAAAGAGCTTACTCTCACACACGGAAATATTAGAGAAAAGCGAGAAAAAAAATGAAGTACGGGACTTATGATTGCTGCTCTTCAATACCGTTTCTTCAGTTTACCATTTTATTATAATCATAATTCAAAATAAGTAAGTGTTTGATCTAGTTTAAAATACATCACAGGTAATCACTTACCTACTCATTATGAAAATCGAAACAATAATTCGGAATAACTACGTTGTTACGAACAGTTATGGAACACAGTCGACTAAAATAGCAATGTTAACAATATTTTTACCCATCAGGACGTTCAACATCCAGTGATTATCATTGGATGTCCGTTCTGAAGGACAATTGGTCAAGGACAATGGATATCCGATGCTAATTATTTCCACGTTATTCACAATAATAGGAAACGTGTGACATTGACCTTTTTATTCTAATTGAAAGACAATAGAAAGGATGTCGGTTATCTAGTTTAATCAGATAACAAAAGTTCTAGTGTTCATAACAGTACTAACAAAAGTTTACAGTATTTGAATTGAAATAGCTGAAATATGTCTAATTTTATCTTTCATTCATTAATTACATAAAAGTTTGAGCTACACATATGTACACAATGTTCCAAAAATAGACTCAAACTAAATGTATAATTAGTCTGTGGATAGTAGGATATAATTAGCCTTTTATTTGATAATGTAGTATTTTACTTTTCAGGCTCTTTTGATAGTCATAACTCATGAATGGGAAACCATTTACACAATAGTTTGTACAGGAAAAACAATTGCATTGTTTACATACACTATAGAACTATCTACCTCTAGATCTATTTCATTCAAACATAGATAAGACAAGCACTTTACAATGTCAACTGACTATATTGCAACAAAAGCGTGTTTGTTATTAACAAAACTGATTTTTTTTATGGGAAGCAATCGGCGTCATCCATGGACACCTGGAACACCGGAGGCCTTTTGGGGATTAGGAGTTTGAGGATTGTTGGAGATTGGGGAAGGGAAGGGGGGCGAGTTAGGCCTCCGGTAACCTCATTCACACGACGAAATATAACGCAAGCGTTGTTTCACGTCGGTCTTCTGTGAGGCCGTGGTATCACCCCGATCAAGCCAGCCCATTCGTGCCGAAGCATGGCTCTCCCACACTTAAAATATGTCTAGTCTTATAATTAAAAAAAAAATAGTACGCAAGACGAAACGACAAATATAAACTTTAATTTTTAATGTCCTTTTAAAAGGTCAAGAGCCTTAAAAAGACCTATTTTATGAGCATACTAAAATGGCGTCCAGTTTAGTTCTAAAACACGAACGGTTCGATGACCATTGCTCGATTAGTTGTAGTTCGTCACGCTATTTCCTTCTTCAGCTTTGACTGATCACCGACATGTCAATTTGTTTGGTTTGTTTTTATTTAGAATATTTATTCAAGTTTTCTTTAGTTCTCGTGCCCAAAATAAGTTAACTACTTATGTGATGACAGTCCACCACAGATGGGACTCAGTAGGGCTGATGCCCGATACGGAGCCGGGGAAGGCCTAACGGGTTGGCAGGGCTCTGTCTCGAAGAGCAGGAGTAGAAACGGGGTGGTTTTTAGTCTTTAAAGTAATGCGTATTTTTACTGTTTTTTTTTTGTCAAAATTTGGATATGCTTTGAAAGTTATATTGGTCTCCACGAATCTCAAGGCAAGAGGCAGGAAAATAGGAATTTTGGTGTTCCTAAAAAACTAAATATGTTTAAAACAATTCTACCAAGCTATACCGATCCAAAATGAGACAGAAATACCATTTATAAGAAGAAAAACAATTTCCACAATGAATGTGTATCCCCATTACGAGAAAACACTTTAAAACTGCGGTTTAAACTCAATGTTATCAGATTATCGAACTACGTGGCCGGTGCTTGCTCGGCTAAATTCCATAATTGCTCCCATTACTGGAAACTTCATCTTAGTCAGCTATATTTTCTTCGGAAAATAACTTTTTAATTGATATTATTAAAAGTGACCCTTTGGTATGGCAGCCAATTTATTGCATTGGTTTTTTTATCGATGGCTGACTTTATACAGATTAATATTTCCATGATTCCTTTTAAGGCGAGTGCAAATTTTAAGGGTAACTTTGGGTTTACGGGTTTGGGGTCCATCCTTAATGAAAATAATATTATCAGTATTTTTTTTACGAAAACTTACTTGACTGAAGATATAGAAGACAGTAGATATAACATTGTACGACCATGATCGGAGTCATATTCAATTAGCATGAGAGAAATCACGAGAGAAATTAATCAATAAAAATAAATGGACTTAATGTGCTCTTGTACATTGCCAATTCTTTGTCCCGGAAACCAGGTGTGATAGTAAACCATGTTGTCAAGTTCAAAGGAACCTTATTGGGGTTACATTAAAGTCTTGATTAATATTTCTGACAGTTTTGTTTATATTACATCGGAAACTGGACGGAGTTTCATTTAAGTTTCAAACTAACTTAATTATTTATTTAATTTCCTCTATCCTTTGCGATAATTAAGCTACTTTTGCTTGTCTTTTGAAAAATTTACCCTTTATTAGATCTGGTTCTTGCTGCCTTGCCCAAGTAATTCTGATTAATTTTCAACTGACAACCATGTATAATGAAGAGACTACCATTTTCTCTGGAGAACTCGTTCAGGATAATTCAATTTCTTTATGAGATCCGTTATTAGGTATTCTGGGTTTCTTCGCAGGCGAAACATGGAATTTTCAAACTGCGGCTACATAAGGAAGAACTCTATAGTTCCAGTCACTTCACCTCCAACGTATGTAGATAGAAATAAGAAATAAAACCTTTTTAGGCCCATAGCACGCGACGGTTTTTAATACGCGCGTCTTCGGTGCCATAAACGCTGATTGTTGCGTTTCCATTAATGATACAAGCGCGCGCATGTAGCGCTTATACGCGCGTTTTCAATTGTTTTATTGTGTGTTACGACCGACTACAGTGCATATACGCGTTTCAGAGGCGCGTTTCACGATCGCTCAGTGTGCTTAGGTTACAAGGTTGCGTTCGAAACTCGTATGAAGCACGTATCCGCGCGTCATCTGTGCGTAAAATCAGTGTGTTTTATACCCTATGGGCCTTACGATTCAACATATAGTAAATTGAGCTTCAATAGTTTTCAAAAACAAAACAAAGCGAGTGTAAACAAAGGTCCACTGATTGAATGAGACTATTTTAGAAACACTAGTGAGGAAATAGGCCAATAACAGCCGAGAGTAGACTATAAATACTGCAGTGTCAAGGCAGATCGTTGACGCGCTTTCCCTCTCGACCGCTCGGCCGGACTATAAATATGTTTATTGGACGTGGTCGCTTTAATTAAAGAGTTCTGAATGAAATGAGATCTGTTTGATTGTTCTGGTGAATTTTTTATTAAAGTTTATTTTATATAGGTAACTTCAAAATGGGTTACCGTGTGTTGGATCATGAAAGTAAGGGAAGAGAGTGTACTTGTGTATAAACGAACTATACAAACAAACTATGCTCAATATTATCTCCCTAAGCTTAGTCACAGATATCATTAAAGAAGTTAGTCAGTCGACATCACCTATACTTATTATACTATTTGGTCGATATCTAACGTAGCATTTTCTCAACAAAGTTTTATTAGGAATTAAAGCTATAAACCTCTTTATAATTCCAAAGAAACAGCAGCAACGTTCTGTCAAATATTCAAGAAAAGAATAAATTGTGAAAAAATCTAAAAATGTCATCATATTTCTAAAAAATTTCACAACAGCAACAAGAAGCACCCATATGATAAAAAAAATATTTATTAAAAAAATTTAAAAAAAGTTGCAAAAATAGATATCTGCTAGCATTATGTCTAGGACCCTGGAATTTTGGTCGCATGTCGTGAGTTCATCGAGAATTTTGAACTGCCAGGCGGTGGAGTCGATTCTGAGCAGATGCTACACAAAGAAAGCTAGAAATGATGGCTGTAGTAGAGCTCATGTAGACATCCCACCTCCCGTTGACCCTAACTGTCCACAACCTTGTGAAAGACGGAAAAAGAAAAAGGAAGGTATATTACATAAGATCAAACTGAAGGTCATTGAGGGTGGAACTAATTTTGGAAGTAAGTAATGTAAGCCGTATGTACAGGATCATGAATTAACTTTAAATTATCCAAACTGACATGAAACTTAAACATTTACTCAATAAGAATCATTATTGCATAGCGCCGTTTCGTCGCCTTGAATGCAAAGCGGTTTGTACTGAGAAGGAACCTCCACCGAAAGCGTTACCGGAACCGAAGAAGAAACACCCTCCAATGCCGGAGCCTCGGCCTGGTGTCCAGGTATCAGTGCTTGGTGCCGATACGGCTATAGGACAGTACTTGGCTCTGCTTCTGAAGCAGTGCTCATGCATTAAAAAGTGAGTTCTAATGCCATATTTTTAAGATTCGTTTCAGAAAAACACATTAACTCAGTAAACGAAAAGAAACGACGCAGTCAGTTTATCTTAAATTTACCAGATTCTTCAAAAATATTAAAAAAAAAATCTATATAAAACCTTATTTCGCACACCAGACCTATATGAACGCATACCAAATATCAATGCTGTTACAGACTAAAAAATTACGAGTTGCGCTATTTCGAAAACCTAATTATCTCGGCGCAGTTACTTAAGTCTCATTCACACAACTCTGGATTATATAGCTTCCTGGGACTACGGGATACGTATTGCCGTTTGACCTAATTGGACATTTCCCACAAACGACTCCCGCTCGTGCAGATGACCTTTCTACTTCTATTTAGTTATTTACGTTTTTAAACAATATGTATAATTTCTTTTTTAGGTCATTTCTCTTTAGCCTTCGTTATATTGCCCTCATTTTGCTACGCAATTCCTATTATGTTAAATAGTGTTTTTAGGCTACTTTACGTTTGATCTAGCCCTGAAACTGTAATGGCTTTGTGGATAAAATGAATGGAAAATAAGTCTTGATTGATAATTAAATTTGTAATTTTGTCACGCTATGTCTAAGTCATACTGAATGATCGTAACGAAGTAATGAAGTAAATAACAAAATGCCTTTTTATTTTAAAAGTTTATGAATTTTATTATATCGAACTATACTTTTTAAAAAACAACTTTCTTCGACCCAGGGTCTGAGGTACCTCGTAATTACAAATCTTGATTAGCGATGTGTTTTTAGATTAATTTTCATAATTATGCTATTGTAAAATCATCATAGATAAAAGAACAAAGTTCTATGAGACCATGTTGTACACATAACTCTATTTGACGTCTTTTAAGCAATTAAACATCAAAGGTTTAATCAGTGTTGCTTTATTAACTTAAAATAATTTTACAAAGCCTACTCAGACAAATTGTCTGACCGACTTTACTCATTTCAATAATTATTCAGACCCGTAAACTCGGTCAGCGGCCAATCAAAACGCTCATTGCTTGAAACGAAATTTAATCAAACCTCTTTAGTTTACGGTCAAATCGCCTTCGCCCGTAGTGTATAGACACAAAACAGTTTATGGACGCTCAGCTGGCCAGTTGGCTATGACGTCGTTGCCCTCAAGACGAAAGTCAATAGGTAAACAGACACAGAAGATCCACTTGTCAATTTGCTTCAAATAAAGCTGTTTCTCAATTTATCAAGTATCACTATATCATCCAGTAACTAAGCGTCGCTTAAATTATGATACGTATGATAATCTGTCGCATCTTATTTCAATGCTTACTTCAATATTCTTGTCCGTATACTTACACATCTTTGCTAGAAAAATGTTATTGTCTACTATTAGCAATATCTTTTTTGCGTCGCTTTTTATTGCTAGCTTATGCAAAATCAACCAACTCTTCTTCAATCTTATCTCCTATTAAGTTGCCCTTCTAAATTGAGCTTCTTCACACGTTCACATGGCTCATGAAATCCATAGCCCTCAGGGATCGTTCGTCTCACCGATGTCACAACACGACTGCGCAACGGTTCGCCTGCCCCGTTCGAATTTATCGCTCGGGATCAGAATCGTTCCCTCACATTAATGTCGTGGGTATATAGATGGTTTTGCTTTCCACGATTGATGAGGTAGCTAGAAACTGATGTTTGAACGGTTTCTCGGTATTGTTTTGGGGATTTGATCAAAGCTTGCGATAACTTTACTGGGAAATTGCTGCTAGGATAGACTGACAGCTTATATACTCGATTGCCCTACATTCTTTTGGGAAATTCATTGTGATCTATTGATATCAAATTAGGTTCTTTTTATGATTTTGCTTGAGAAGGAAGCATGTATTCTTATGGTAGTAGTCCTCCCTCCTACCAAGTTCTTTTTCTGTCGAAGCTACAAACTACATCTACATAGATTTACCATCCTTAAACTTGATCATATTCAAACCGATTTGGAGGTCTTTTACTAGACAAATAACTCCTTCAAAGTCATAATTATGAACAATTATACATTACACACAATTTCCTATTTATTTTACTCATGAATATAGTATGCAAGTTCAAACTGCAAATTAGCTAAAGCCTTATCTTTTACCATTTAATTTAAATAAAGAACTTCTTAGTTATTTCTGTTCTCCCGTTTAAAACGTTTTGCTCATAAAATAAGAAGCTACGCACAACTGGCCGTCCGCTACGACTCATGAATCTGCTCCTATGGGACTCCCTTGATGGTCCACGTCCGTTTTATTACGCAAACGATTCTGCCACAACTTTAGTGGCTTTGAATCTATTATTGTTTCTTTTAAATGAGATATTTTCTTGATTTTAATTTTTTTTTTAAGTAATATAAAGCAGAGACTGCCTCGTTGGCTGAGTGGTCGCTAATGCAACTGGCAAGGGGTCTATTCCCGAGTCGGACAAAGTGTTGCTGGGTTTTTTAATTCTCAGTAATAGCACGGAGTCCGGAATTGAGCCCGGTATAATAATATGGTAATAGGTTCACCCCCTATTACATGGGACTCATAACATAAATAGTGTAAAGTGTTTGTTACATTGTACAGTGGCATTAAAGAGCCGTAATGTGCACCTCTGCCTTCCCCTTCGGGGGTAAAAGGCGTGATGTTATGTTATGATATGTTAGTAAATAAATAAAACTCGTTTATATTACTAGGTCTAAGGTAGTTAGGAAGATTGTTTAGTTATAAAATTCGATAGTTTTACAAAATATATGAAGTGCGAAGTTACATTACCTACATAAGTTTTTTAAGATAAACAATCCGAGTCCCAACGACCAGACGACGTCCATTTCCATACTCCACTATATACACGAACGACCATAAAAAATGCATTCATCCGTTCCATAGTGCCATCATAAATTCCCGCCATAGACCAGAAATGTTAGGCATTCACAGAACAGCACTACATCCACAATTAGATGTAAACTACGTCTTTATAACCGTAGCTATAAGGTTTATTTTCGCGTGTTTCTTCTAGTGTACTGTGCACATCAAAGTTTTAGTAAGGACGTAGGCATTATATGGATCATTCAGTGTATAAGGAGCAAAGATTTTACGACGCGTCCGTGATACCGCGGAACGCTATTTTATCACAATTTTTATTGCTAGGAAACTGAGTCTGTATTACATTTCTGACTTAATACGTTTCGTTTTGATTTATGACTAATAACTGGCTTCTGCACATTGAGTAGTGCCCTTTTAGTTGGTTTTATGGGATTCCACAAAAATGGTTTTCTGTGTACCACTCTCCAGACTAGTAAAGTTTTAAAAATCAAACAATTACTTTACCCACTATGTACTTTATAGCAAATACCGTACGAATTAGTTTTAATTTTTACAATAGGATACAATCCATTACATTTTATTTTAATGTCCGTCTAGTAGATTTTTTTAAAACATTAGAAACGACATTTTTTTTTTCTTACAAAATTAAATACTTTCGACGATACTTATATCGATTTGAAATCTGATGAGACGTCACGATTTATTACATTTTATAGGGTAGCGTGATCTAACGACTTCCTTAACTTAACTAGGCATTGTTTTCTTATAAGATAAAATAGAAAGTATGTGTCTAGTATTTTTCCATTATCTACTTGACGGACTAATTACAATATTAATTTTCATACACTACATATCTACTAATCTATTCTAGAAATACCGAAATATCTAACACCAATTAAACTGTCAAACACGGAGCGGTCACCGGTGACCGCAACCTATTATTATATTTATATTATGACGGTACTCAACGAGTTAATTCCTCTAAACTCAACATTCGAATTCCATGACCTATTTATATTTAACACAAACCTTTATAAAACGATTTCACGACCACAAAAGCTCAACTCGTTTCAAAACGAGAATCGATTTAATCCTTACTCCCCTGATACCCATTCAATTCCGATAAGCCATCTTCATCATCCCATCTAATCGGATTGCAGGTTACGTCTCTATGAAGCGAAAGATTCTCAGGGTTGCACCCGGGACTTGTGCTCCGTAGTGCAAGATCTTCAGCATATCAACACAAATTGTCTAGTACAGGCATTCAGCTGTGCCTGTTACGAACTCGAACGATGTTTACAGGTTGATTTTGAATTTTATTTGCTGTGGTATAAAGTAGATTTTTGTTGTTTAAACGTTTTTAATAGTATTGTCGGTAATGTATGTATATTGAATCAATTGTATTGTTGGTTTTAAAGTAAGATCATTCATTAAAACGCCATTAACAGAGGTATTCTATATTGTAGATATGTGACTGTAGTATCATATCCCCCTATTTTCACACCTTTCAGGTTAAATTTTATCAGAGGAATAACTAACAAATATTGAAAAATATTGACTAAAATATTGTGAAATGTCAATTTATTCCATAGTTAAGAATTAACCGTTGATTGAAAAATTGGCCCTAACTCTTATTCCTAAAATAGTTAGGATAATTTGTTATGATTTGCCTACGTAATATCACGAGAAACACAAGCGCAATAGGTCACAGTCTAACATAATCTAGTTGGCGAGTTCTACACCGTTGACATTAGCATATCGCGCAGTGCAGCCAACATCAGCGTTAATGTCAAACTCGATGAGAAGTTGGCCCGCCATGCTATCAACTTTCTGTTTCGAAGCTAGATAAACTTTGTTGTGTCGTCAATGAATTGAATCTTGAAATGTCTATTGAATTTAGGTAATGCCCTACAAAGGTAACTAACTATAGTTAAAACAGAAATATGACAGTCTTTCGCCCGAATAATGAAAGGTTACTTAATTTTAAGTCGTATTTAAATATGTGCCATCTCTGTTTAGTACTAAAAAAAATATAATTATTATGTTTTCGAATTACTCACGTAACTGCTTGATGAAGCACTCGACTAGTTTCAAGCCATGCTACAGGCTGTTCATGAGCAGCATTCCACGACGCGCGACGCGGCGACTGTCGCGCTGCTGACAACAAGTCGAGTTCCTCGCCAAACAGTTACATGAGTAAACATAATAATAATTAGTATACGTCACGGAAATTTTAATATAAACTTCTCAGACAATAAAATTACATTAAAGAGTAACAATCGCAGATGTAAGTACAAGCGGTTATCTACTAACAAGTCCACTTTATAACCAGACAAACCCATCACCGGAAAACACCACTATATCTGAACAGTAATAAAATGTAATATGATAGTATAAGTTTTAATTACAACGTAGTGATTCGTGTTGTCGAAAAGCCGCGCCTACCACGATGTGGCCATGAAGCCTAATTAAAATTATCATGCGAAATTGTTTCTATTTCCACGCAAAGTTTTTGTTGTTATTCTATTTTTTTAGGCGTTGTATGTAGGGTTATGTGTTTAAAATACAGGACAGCTGGTTAAGGTGATTTAATAATACGCTCACATTTTTTTTATGATCCGATAGATCCACTATTAACACGTTAAACGCCATGGCAGTCACTGGTGACCGACATTAGCGGAGGATTTGCCTTCAATAGTTTTTTATTGGCAGCCAATGCCTTAAATAAGTTTAGAGTAAAACGGTTTGGCGACTTTTCGTCCGAAAATTTTCCACTCACTTATTCTTTGGTTTATTTTTTATTCGACGAGAAAACGATTACCTATTTTGTTTACCTGACCATTAGGCATAGAACCTGATGATAGAAATGGAAGGTTCTAAACCAATACACCAAGGAAACATTTTAAAAATAGAACATTTATTTGTCAATGCTTAAACCAACAGTCTTCGCAATCAGACTTCAATTCACAGAAGAAAGCAAGCAAGTCGGTAGTAATTGAAACTGGTTTAAACTTTTAATTTCTAGTTTCTACCAGTTTTTTTCAGTTTCTGCCGGTTCAGTATCAACAAGGCATAGTATAAGTTTTCACCGGACTTCGGCTTGTGAAGTTTTCTCGCCACGAAGCGAAATAAACTTCTCTGTTTATAAGAAGTTTTGCCTTTTTTGTGAGCGCCGTAAAGAAATTAGACGTGAACCTCTAAATTGTACATTTTAATATTGTAAGTGGTTTTTACAGCATAAAGAGCACGGTTAAAGTCATGGTTTCGGAAAGGTCTCGTTGTTTGTGTTTGTAATTTTAAAAATATTTTATTATCATGTGTGTGTTTAGGTATAGGTAGCTAGGTTAAACTCATTTCCATCAAAAGTCTGGGTTTTGTTTCAAAATCTCTCAGCTAGCTTAGATGAATAGAAAAATACCCAACTGATGAAACCCCTGCTTCTCTCGTAACATAAAAACAATGTACAATAATTATCAGTATTTCAAAAGTTATGAACCCGTGTATAACAAAACCTCCTTCAATGAAAAAGTACCAATTAAAAAACCACCCCGACTCCAGTTACAGAGTAAAAAATAATGAAACAAATATTGAGTAGAAATAGCAGTTGAATCAATGGTGAAGGTGGAATTTTTTTTATTCATAGCCAACCATGCATGGTATTCGCGAGAGGGCCCCGTGCCGTTGACCTCACCTTGCCAATCAATACGTAGCATACGACCCACTACACCGATTATACAATTCTTTAGACTAGTTTGTAGATTTGTAAAGGACTTGAGTATGTAAGCAACTGTCCAGCATTTACTTAAAAGCAGTCTTTGAACATAATCATGCTCAAATTCTAGCCCTTGTAACCAAATTTATCGATAAATGATAGGTGATTGGTACTTACCGTTAGTAGTACCTATACCTATACCTTCAGTTAGGTAAGTTTTTTATGGAATAAACTGGTAAACGATCAGACGGATTACCTAATGGCAATCAATCGGCGTCGCCCATGGATACCTGGAACACCAGAGGCGTTACAAGTGCACTACCGGTCTTTTAGGAATTAGGAGTTTGAGGATTGTTAGGAATTCAGGGATTGGGGAGATTGGGGAAGGGGGAGAGGTTAGTCGAGCCTCTGATATCCTCACTCACATGACGAAACACAACGTCGATTTTCTGTGAGGCCGTGGTATGACTCCGGTCGAGCCGGCCCATTAGTGCCGAAGCATGGCTCTCCCACACTTAAAAGTATATCTGGTTTTATATAATGGTGCATAGAATAATGGAGGGCATAACGAAGAAAAATATAATAACACTGTTTTTATTAATTTCTTGAAGACACGCATCAAAAGTTGTGCATGTTAGGCACAACATTAATGCCGCGCCGTAGCAAAATTAAGACACTGATAGATGAACTGCTTGTGTGAGAAGAATGTCGTATGAAGCCTTATCCTTACTGATATTATAAATCGGAAAGTGAGTTTGTTTGTTTGTTCCGATTTCACGCCGTAACTAGTAAACCGATTGCTTTGAATTTTTGCAGACGTAAAGTTAGAAATCTGGATTAAATAATACGAGTACTTTTATCCCGTAAAAATTTGATATTCCCGAGGGAAAACAAAAGTATTGGTATAGATGGCGCTGTATTGGTATATGTCACATAGGCTACTTTTTATCCTTTTGTGACGCGAGCGAAGCCGCGGGTAAAAGCTAGTATGATATAAAGGAAAAAAGTGACATACATAACACACCAACCGCAAGTAGCTTGTTTGGTTTTGTTCTCATGTTTGTTCTTCGAAATAAAAACGAACTCTCTTCAAGCAGCGTAAATATTTTTCCTCGGTTTTCCTTATTATTGTTATTGGCAGTCGCGTCGTAGTTCGGTTATATCATGGATACTTAGGTGGGCAACATACTGTTAGACACACACATATTATTAACTAGCTTCAGCCAGCGGCTTCGCCTGATTTCCTGTCATTCCTGTGAAGTAAAAAGTGGCTTATGTGTTATTCCAGACCATAATCTACCCCTGTTGCAAATTTCTTCTCAATCCCTTCAGCCGTTTTGACGTGAAAGAGTAACAAACACACACACATACCCACACCCACACACACACACACATACCCACACCCACACACACACACACATACACGCACACACACACACACACACACACACACACACACACACACACACACACACACACACACACACACATATTAAAATAATTATGATATTTGTAAGGAAAATATGAAATAACTTTATCTCCCATATTTATTATATCAGTAGAAACTAGGATATCTCGGATCTTTTTACCCGATGAGCATAGCATAAATAATAATCAGTTAAATAAGGACACTTGCTATCATTATTCTTACTCATTGTAACAGTTAGTAACAGGTGATGTATCTTAAAAATAGAATATGTCAACATAGACTGCCTCGTTGGCCGAGTGGTCGCAATTGCGACTGCCGGGCAATCCGGTTTTCGGATTCGATTCCCAGGTTGGGCAAAGTATTACTGGGTTTTTAAGAATCTCATTAGTAGCACGTAGTCTGGAAGGGTACCCGGTATTGGGCCCGATATCGGTTAATAGGCTCACCCCCTATTACATGGGACTCATAACATAAATAGTGAAAACTGGGTGTTACATTGTACAGTGGCATTAAGTGCTGTAATGTGCACCTCTGCCTATCCCTTTGGGGACAAAAAGGCGTGATGTTATATTATGTTATGTCAAAATAAACATTAGGAAACATCACAGAATGTGAAATATTAAAGAAGAATCTACACTTCCCTGAGAAAATATTTTCTCTTTGAGAAATATGAACTAGATAATGTAACTTGAAAGTAGCTAGATTAAACTATGTCTAGTGTCTCATTCTTTGTTCAATTTGTAGATGAAATTTAATAGTAGAATAGAAATTTCTAATGCCTTATATGTAGTACCTAGTATTTTTCATTTCATAACTATTTATTGTGAAAATATTCACTGCTCTGACGTACGCGAAATTGCCTTCAGATGTTTGTCCTTCATTTTAAGTCACATATTCCTCTAACATTTTAGTTTTACTTCTTTATCCTAATCTTCTACCATTTCCAACAGAACTCAGACATAGTACTGATACTAGAAAGTGGCTACCTTAATGTGGATATGCCATTCGAGAAGAGATTCCTCTACCAAGCGCCGATAGTGAAGTGCTATGCGGACGCTATCGCCAACGAGTGTCCCAAGGCGTTCATTATTGTTGGTGCCACGCCGATTGACTGCATGGTGCCTTTGATCGCTGAGGTATATCCCTTTGTTTCTTATGATAGGGAAAAAGGAAGTATAATCCCATTTTTCGAATACTGATTCACTGAGACTTTATTTCCAATGTTTAGAGACTACTTTTGTATGAACAACTTTAGGGGATGATTTTCCACGGGTTAATCAATTTAAATTTAATTCGAAATGACAGTGACGTCACGTTTATAATGAAATTATGTGACGTCATTATTACAATAGTGCAAATTATGAGTAAGATGCATAAATATCAGTAGGAAAGTAACTTGCAGCGTTTCTTCAATTAAAGGAAACCATTGAAATGATAAGGTCGCTGCAGATAGTTAGTAGTTAGCACACACTCAGTGCCGCGAAGATATATTAGTTCTGGGGAAGATTAATGTTTCTGCCATATGTGGCGTTCTACGTAACAGCAACCAGTGTTTAAATTTCATCCATTTCAAATATATGGATAGTATAAAGGCTCCTAGACTCGTGTCCAGGCTTTTTTTTTTAAGTCGGGAAAGTCATCGTTTGACTGGTCCCGCCTGGGTGAGGCGGAAGGGAGAGTCAGACTCTTACTGACTAAAAACCACCCCGTTCCTTCTCCTGCACGTCGAGCCGGAGCCCCGGTTACCCGTTAGGTTCTCCGCGACTCGGAATCGGCAACAGCCCTATTGGGCCCCATCTGTGGTGGTCTGATGGCTCTTTGAGGCGCGCGCGGAACGCGACTCGTGCCCAGGCTAGAGCGACATGGTCATGTGCATTGTGTGTAGTGTAAGACACATTAAATTTAAGCATCTTCAAAAACATTTTTTTTACAAACCAAATCATTTAAGAAGGGTCAAAATAAGTCCTCACCATGTGAATATTTATTCTTCCTCTTATCTCTGTTCTCTGACAAAAATCTACAAACTTTTTTACGTCCACGTCAATGTTGATGATTTGCAACCAATAAAAGAAAACAATCATAAAACAGAACAAATTGACGAATTGGAATGTTTTCTTCCAATGTTTGTTACAAATTCTGATTGGCCCCTAAAATAGTTGCCAAGGCCTGTACGACAATGGGAACAAACATGTTTTGAGACAAACAAAGACAAAATTATAATAAACAAATACAAAGGACGGTAAAACAGACTTGTATGGAGATATTTGAATACTTAACATTATTATTGCATTCTAATACCACTATTTATTGTACTGGTTACTAGTGTTCTTTTCGAAATTTCTCGATATCCTTTTCTAGAGCAATTATAACTCTCACCCTGCCTGCCCAGGGAGAAGTTTGGCAAACCCTATCAAGTCGATGGGAGGAGGATGGATGGAGGATGGAGAGGGGGCCCAAAGTCGATCAATGCATTGTCAAGATTTTTGTTGACCTGTCTTCATCTTCATCATCATCAACAATCTATAAATGCTCTCTGCTGCACCACGCTTGCTCAATGCGGGTTGGCGATTACGAACTTATAATTAGATAACATAAGCCCAGGTTTCCTCGCTAGGTTTTCCTTCATAGTTTGTCACTGGGGTCTGAATAATCTTAGAAAGTAGGTACATATAACTCGGAAAAAGTCACATTGGTACTTGCCTTTGGTAGGTTTCGAACCCGCACCCTCATGCATGAGAAGCGGGCGTCTTTAACCTCCGGGCCACCACGACATTCTTCATCTTGCAATGTGCAAATGCATGTAGGTTCAATACAACAAAGTTTAATTTTTCTCCATTATAAACACATACTTCTTTATAACACGATCGTAAAGTAAGTGAATTTTCATCGTTTTATTAGACATCAACAATTTATGAGCACAGATACGATCCATTAAGATGGTCTGATACAAGCGTTATCGTAACTTCCGTGTTGTATTCAATTAGATGCTCATATTTCAACGTCATAAAATTCATATTTGTTTACCCTGTTTATAGATAGAATGCCACGGTGAATTAAATATAATGTCTCGATTTTAAGGCTTTTGCATTTAAGCCTTTGACTGCCGACAAAAAACTGTTGAGGGTAAATCCTCCGCTATCGTGGCCCAACCTTTGTCCCCCATGGCGTTCAAGGTGTTAAAGACTACACACACTTGTGGGTTTCCAAAATACTGTTACTTGGCTTAAGCTTATGATTCACCATTCATTGAAAACGAAGCTAAACATACTAAATTACTCGGTTAACTTTTGTAAACCTCAACAAAAATTTTCAATATTCACAAGCAACCTGTGACAGGAAAACAAACTGGGCTTCGAGACTATGAAATATCGGTCAATATTCCTTCAAAGTTAACTGTTGTCCATTTAGCTCGAAAATAAATTCACACAATCACCAGAAAGCAAGTGATAAATATTGTACGTCCTTCCCTGGGGGCTAGCGTTCTCAATCTCGACTCGGATTGCGTTGTTCTCCAAATCCCATTTGTAACAAAAGAGGAATTTGTCAAAAAGGAGCATTGAAGTTGTTATTTGTATTGTGTAGATGTTGTTATATCTGCTAAGATAATATTGTGGAAACAAAAGTGTTTACTGATCTCGTGTTTGAGATCTGCGTCTGATGAAATATGATACCTTCTACTGGATTTTTTGGGTCGAAAATACGAGTAAATAACTATATACTATTTGCATATTTGAGTAACCAAACCTAAGTCGGAATTCAGTTATAAATAATGCAAATTTATCTATTTAAAAATAACATTACAGCTATATTCTGATCTAGTTTTATAGTAGGGACAACAAGACTAATCCGAAAATGTCAGTTCCAAACTAATATGGAAGTTAATACTGAAACTCCATAAGTGAACTACCACGTATTGCTAATAAACCAAATTGTTCCCGCTTTGACGCCGCGGCCATATTGCTGTTTAACTACGTCAGTAATTCTGGAAAGTCAATATTTACTAAGCGCAGTAATTGTCTGGCTAAATACGTTGCTTTGTTTACTATGCTACGCTAAAGCTTTCCGATTCATGTGTGGCTTCTACTCATATTAGGAGCCAAATTATTACACCAAACGCTATTGAATACTAAACTTGTTTGTGTGTTTAATTAGTGGTTTCTATAAAAATAAACATTTGGCAAATGAAAATGTTTCATATTTCTCAATTTTCTGTGAACTGTCAAAATTCAAGGTCTATAAAAGAAATAGGAGCATTATTATCATAAGTGGGAAGGAACTTTACCAAAAACCGAGTACCCTAATAAATACCTTTATCCGAAGAAAATTGAAAACCCACCGTATGATAACGCTAAGTAGCATTACTATTTTTTCAATAAAAACATCAGTGTAGTACGGAAGGCGGAGTTTCCTAAGAAATTATCCATCGTTTTTGTTGCGGCTTAGTCCGAAGCTGACATTCGCCTTCTTTCAATAAAAAGGCGAAGGTTTTTCTGCTGTCGACGTCCAAACTCGTTTGTTCTCGAACCGCGAAGAAAAAACTTCAGCATATTGGAAGCTTGTTCACGAGTCCTATTAGTTTTATTTCCCAGCAACATCTTAGCATGTTTTGTGGCTTCATTATTGCGTTTTCTGACTTTCTTTGTAACAATCGCGAGTGGTTTATTAAACAAATAATGAGCGAGCATGGTTTTGTCACGCAACTCATATATTTATCGTTAATCTAAAATTTGCCTTATCTTCGGTCGGTAGCTGTTTTTGGGTCAAAGAACATTGATTATGTACATTCTTTCGTCTCAGTGAAAATTTGTTCAGTGTATTAGTCGAATTAGGGGCATAATTAATTTGTTTTGCTCCAGAATTATTTATATTAAACAGGCGAAACTTAGCAACGTCTATGATAGCTTGGCTTCACAAACAAACCTGCACTCCCATCCTTTCCTTACAGACATTGAAAGAAACAGGCTGGTATGATCCAAACAAATTGCTTGGCTCGTTAGCGGTACCAGAGATGCGCGCGAGTACTCTCGCCGCGCGCGCCCTCTGCCTGGAACCACGGTACACTAGAGTACCATGTGTGGGAGGCACAGAAGGAGATACACTTGTGCCTTTATTCTCTAAGGCTGTTGAGTACTTCGATTTTGCTCAGGTATTATCTTAATGTTGACCGAATAAATTTTGGCAATTCTAATCGGCCTTTACACTAATCTAGACTTATAACACGTCTCAACTAAATCAAACACATTTTCGCTAACACTAAATCGGATTTAAAAGTCAATGGGAATCCGTACAGTGTCGATCAACACATCTTTTATCCTAACGTACTTAACCCGGCTTAATCCTCGGACTAGAGTTAATCCATTAAATCCCTCTTTCCCAGCATAATGCTGAAATGATGACGGAAGCGGTAAGGAATGCGCCAGTGGGGGTGTCCAGATGTGATGGACCCTGCCAGAGGGCCGGGGATCTCAGTGAGGCCCATGCACTCGCTGGCCTGGTGACCTCCGTGGCGCATGCACTCTTGTGCCATGACATTCCAAGAGTGACGGGTTTCGTTGAGACCGACCTTGGACAAGTTATATCCCCTGCCAGGTTACTATTTTATTCTATTTATATTAGCGTAGTTACAGATAGCGAATCGAAACATTGTCGACTTTTTGGCATCAATTTTGTTTTATTATTTTTTAATAGAGTAGAAAATCCATTCTTTTTGATCATTTTGGTTAGCTTAATGTATATGGTGGCATCTGTACTATATTCTACCATATGATATTAATTTTCTAATAACCTTTGTATACTTGGTATTTATAATTTCAAGATTCATATTTTGTAAATTGAAACAAAAATATTTCTGCTGCTCGACTTAAGTTACGTAACGGTCTAAAAGGTTCTAAATAGTGAAGGCAGTGGCCACGTGATTGATAGACTCATTTATCAACGCCAGGCCAAAAGGTTTTGGCGATATACAAAAATTAGTACATAGTCGTATGTCCACTACAAAGGAAAATATTTTAGCTAAAGGAAAAATATGTCGAGTAGAGTCTGTCAAAGGCCTAACACGATTCATAATACGCAATCACATCTATATAAATCTAAAACCACACTGCACTTGTAAACATGTTCATATCTTCATCTGAAACATATTTGCTCGTAAAAGTTTTACATCAAAGTTCTTCTAGTTCATAACAGTCAGCATACAATTTTATTTTAATATCCAAAATACATATTTGGTGTTTGGTATCCTCAGTCTCTCGGTAAAACTGAAGCATTTTGAGATTAAGAACCCGTTCAGTGATATCGTGATGTGATAGCAATAATGGAAGTACACCAAGATCTTCTGCCTCCAGATTCATCGCAGGCCCCGTGGAGATTGGTGGGAGTGGCATCATCAGGAACCTCGGCTTACCGAAGATGACCGACCATGAGACCACTTGTATGAATCTGGCTTTGAGCAGCCTCTCCTACAAACAGTGCTTGGTGTATGACTGGTACTATAAATATTGCAGCTCCTCGACCCGGCTCGATGCCTGCCAGTTCGAATTCTTCTGTCCTAAATCTTATAGGAGATTTGACGACTGCGCTTATGCTAATGTGTGATTGCCGTCCAGTGGTGTATTTATATTGTGGGTGTCTTTCTAAATGCTTGTTAAGGTTTGATGTGGTTTTCAATTTTCTAAATCACCAAGTGTAAATGTGTTTGTAATGTTATTATTTTATAAATAAATTGTGGTTTTTGCAATTTACGTTTATTTTCACTTTTCTATGGTTTGTAGCATTAGTACTCCTTAGGCATAGCAAGCGTTACAGTATGAAAAGTAAAAAAACAATTAAATGGTATATTTCAACTACACAGATACCTTGCTTCGGACGTACTTCTGGGCCATAAAGGAATATGCAAGAGGCTGAGCTTTCCGCCCAAATTAAGTTCTTATGAGATGAACTTACTGGATGTGTCCCTATCGGAAGTAATATGTCACTATAATAGGGCAATGGAATGGTATCAATGTAACTTAGAAAATGCAACCGCCGGTATGGCAATGCAGAAGGAATTCCATACACCAACATCTTATGAACGCATCCAAGATTGTGCTATGTTTTGTACATAATAAGTTAAAAAATAAGCACGTATGACTAGGGTCTTGTTAGTTCTGTAAATGTCTATCGTGTAACGACTGCGTCCAAAATTGCCGGTAATTCACGAATATTTTCTATAAAACAACATAATTCATGAGTTTGTTGTTGCTGTCTGAGAAAAGCATTTTATAGCGAATTTCTAATAAAAGAGTAAATTGAAAAAAATTGTAAAGGTGAATAAATAAAAAATACTTCGTTTTTAAATTAAGAGGCTTTTTCATCGCTTAGGACATTACACAGTAAGTATTATCTGTGGTCCCTTTCGTGTGAAGAGCACATCATAAGCAAATGATTTAATTTACTTCAATCAATTTTGGAGTATAGCTATCTGGTTGTCTGTTGATTGTAATGTTTTCTACATACACTTGGTTTGTACGCTTTTATAAATAAAATGTGGTTTTGCCAATTTAAGTTTGCTGTTTTTATTTCTTTTCATATGGTTTGGTGGCATTATTTCTTAGTAATATTAATTAAACGTTACATTTCAACTACGCAGATATCTCGCTACGGACTTGCTACTGAACCATAAAGGAATCTGCAAGAGGTTGAACTTCCCTCCCAGACTAAATCGATACGAAATGAGCCTACTAGACGCCTCAATGTTTAATATGATGACTCGTTATGACATGGCAATGAATTGGTATGATTCAAACATAGAAAGTATGAACAGTCATATGACAAAGCAAAAGAATTTTTATATACCAAGACGTTACAAACGTCTTGAAGATTGCATTAAAGCTTTAGTACAATAAGTCGAAAGAAGCCAAGTGACCAAAATTCTGTTGGGTCTATGAACGTCAATCGTGTAACGAGGACATACGAACTTGTGCAGAAATATAATACAAATCGCACCTCTCGAAATGTCAGAACAGAAGTAATATACGAAAGTGTTATCACTAAATGTGGTTATTGAATGTCATAGCTATAAGAATTTAATTAGTGTGATATATGTAGATACCTTCTCTGTATTTGTACGGAAGGCCGAAATAGATAAATCTAAATAATTTACAAGTTTTTTGTTGCTGCCTGTGAAAACGTTTTGTACCGAATTTCATACAAAATAATAAACTTTAAAAAAATTGTAAAGCTAAAGTAAAATAAATAAAAATGACTTCATTATTTAATTTAAGTTTTATTTACATCACTGGTAACACTTATTTGTACAATACCTATTATCTATGGTCCATTTCTTGCGAAGGGCGGCCGCGCATTCGTTTTGAAATACATTTTGCCGGACATTCTGGTAAAAGAAAATAAAAGCACTTTACCTTTGTTAACGATATTTTTTAATAAATCACATAATAAATATTATAATCACAATTAAGTAATACGTAAACAAAGCAGAGCTGCCATTGCACCAGGTTTGTCATAAAGGGAACGAATCTCGGTTCTGGGGACAAGCCGCAAAAATTGCAATAACATGGTAATTTCGTTGATCCAGTGACTTTGTTATTACGTAAACGTATCTATACGCAAACAGAAGACCAACAAGATCTTTTGTTTGTGTATATTATAAATATATATAATAATATAGATTATTCTCAAAGCACTTTAATTGAAGAGCTCTTGACAATAATTCCAAACTTCATTAAATTACTATTACTAAAAGAAAATATCTACAACTTAAAATATAAATAACTATGAACTAAAATATTTACACCTTAAAAAAATAATAATAATACAAATGCTATATTATGGCATCAAAAAAAAAGTTATGATTAGATTAGCTTTATTCCTTGGAAATAATTATATTAAACTAAAACTTTTAAAAAACAAAAACCTGATCATGTTGCACTATTCTAAAGTCTAATTAATTTTCAAATCATTTAACGATTGCTCAAAATCTGTTAATTAAGCTAAGAGTAAGTTAATCGGTGATTGTGGAACAATTCCTTTAGTATTTTGCCAATCTAATTTAGACCTCAAGATTTTTCTACAGTAAGACTGAAATAACTCGTATGTTGTACTGTGTACACTAGGCTCAAATATTGACACAGGCTGTAAGGCCTCTCGTCCTCAATCACCGCATTCAGTCAATTGTAACGAAAAGGTCTAAAAGCCTATTACTGGTTGTTGTAAAAGATGTTCCGACGGAAAGGTCAAGGAAAGGAGACTGTAAGTTACATAACATCACAATTTTTCCTGGAAAAGGTAATCAAAGATAAATGGCGAAAAGGTAGTGAGAGATGATCTTTTCGTTTGTCAATTTCTTTCCGAAACTTCGTCACAAATCCAGATTTATTTTCAATGCCTCTACCTGTGATGTAATCTACGTAATATTTTTGTACCGTGTTAAATTTTCCATTGGTTCAACCATGTTATTTTTAGCGCACTGTGACGAGGCCATTAAAACCAGACAGATACTGTTGTATCACCCTTCTCCTAAAAATTCCAAAACGTATATACCGGGGAACGAAATATTTTTATATTTTACCCACATTCACCCAATTCAGTGAAAATATAGGTCAATATTAGCACCCCTACCCATAGACACACCATAAACATGTACTGCCGAACATAGAACCCTCATCTAAGCCCCCATAATGGGCATATCTTGCTGAGTACTAATAATAATCGTTTTACTACAAGCAAACAAAATAATAATATTGCTTTTATATTGTATAAAATAAAATAATAGGCTGTATTAATTAGGAACCCCATTTAGGGATATTGGGGTGTTATTGCAATTTTGCGCTTCCTGCTTCTAATTTCTTCAAATATTAATTTCAAATATTGATTCAAATATCAAATATTAATATTAATAATAACATTTACGGTACAATAACCTTCATAAAATAAAATAGTAACAGTTACCATTCGCCTAATATCTTGCTTCAACAATACGAGGTTAACTGGTTAATACTAGTCGACTCCAACAGAATAAGATAAAGGACTGGAGATATGAAGGTACTTACGGTGCTGCAGCAGCTACTCCCATATATCCATCCACTTGAAAACTGCATGGCCTTGTAGCAGAAGTCCAGTCCTGACACAATGTGGCTGGAAACCCTCGAGGATTACTCAAAGACTCTGAATACAGACGCCAAGCACGGACATGACTGCAACCATCTGGGGAGAAATGTCTGTTTCAATAATTCGGTACAAGGAAAACTCGATCTTACCGTGCCAGTGATTGAATTTAATATCCCTTGGGATTTTCCCGTTACAGTCGATGGTTAGCATGATTAGGCAGTTTGTTCTGTACACCTGTTCTTTCGTTTATTGGGTTACAGAACTGAGGGGTATTTGTGTTTATAATGGCAAAATTGCCCTATTTTTATTGAATAAATAAATCGGATCCTTAATATGACTGTGATTCTACGTCTATACAAACAGTCTTCAAATAATAGCTGACCTTTTTAAAGGATTCATTCGAAAGGTCAATTTCTGTCCTTTGAGTCATATTTCGACATTCATTCTTTTATTTATGGCATTTATTAATTTACCCTTCCAAGAGAGCCCTCTCTTTGCACAACAAAAATTAGCTGATCAAACATGTTTGTTGACTACAAGTGGGTTGTCATTACACCCACACAGAGTACTTTCTAAATCCCACGCTACAGGATGAATAACAATAACTAAACATGGAAATAAAACAAAGTTATATTTTATCCCTTTTTCCTTTGTTTTTACTTACTGGATCAGGCGTGAGAAAAATTGCTCTTAAAGCATGTGTTAGTTACGAACAGCCAAGCTATTTTCGGCCTTAGCGATCAGAGATTTGGTAGCATTTTAAAACACCCTCAGTTCGAATGTCTCACAAGTTACTTTGGCAACAAGCGGTTGGTTGGTTTTCAAAGTGCATGTTTTTCCGAATCGTGTACCGAATCCAACTTTTAAAGTCGCCAAATGTGACACAGCGCCGGAACATTTATTTACAAGTCGTCTTTCTTCGATAAAATCTGAATTGAGATGGACTAATTCCGCAGGATTAGCTGTGCTAGGTATATGGTACCTATCCTCCACAGTAGTTAAAATATATTACATATGACTTGGATTTCGTAATTTGGAACACCTAAATGTGCGATTAATTTAGAAAAACCTTTATGCTCATATGCTCCTCATATGCTCTATCCTCTAAAACGTCGCTGTCATCTTCTTTTGGTTATAGATACGTACTAGAGCAGAGTGCACGAGATTTTTAGGCTTCTCAGTTTCTCGGATTCTAGCAGATCAGGTCCCGATACGACCATTAGATAAGGCTATCGCCATTTATTCTATACAGACCAGTTTAGCAAAGCCCATTATTGTTATTTAACACACCAAAATACATTTGAGGATTAACCTACATATTTCGTTGGTAACCCACTACCATTTAATTCCTTTGTATATTTTGTAAGGGGAGGACTACGGTGCCTATAACTAATCTGCTATTGACATTTTGCTTAACGATCAATCTTTGGCCCTGAGCCAAGTGGTAGCGTACCTACAACGTCTTGATAAAATATGAGGTTATCGCATTCTAGGGTTGAACGAACTAAATTGATAAACGATTCGATGTTTAAAATTTTTCAATTTGTTGAAAATATGTAACACTGCCTCGTTGGTCGAGTGGCCGCAAATGCGACTGCTGGGCAAGGGGTCTCGGGTTCGATTCCCGGGTCGAGCAAAGTATTACTGGGTTTTAAAAAAAATCTCAGTAGTAGCACGGAGTCTGGAATTGTGCCCGGTATATGGCAATAGGCTCACCCCCTATGACATGGGACTCAAATATGAATAGTGAAAAGTGGGTGTTACATTGCACAGCGGTAGAAAGTGCCGCAATGTGCACCTCTGCGTACCCCTTCAGGGGTAAAAACTTAAAAAGCGTGATGTTATGTTTAATATATAAGGTCGCCAAACATATTTTTACGTCCTTCAAAATTCAATGATGTTTTCACAGCTGTTGTAAATCCAATATTTTGGTTGAACGTGTTGCAATAACATTAAAAGATTAAAGTTATTAAATATGGACTATAAAAGGATTTAAAAGATCTGATGCCAAAAATCTTTCCAAGTGCAATAAATTGAAAATGAAATCTTATAAACTTTTCATGCCAAGACAATATGTTAAGTTTCCATCAAATGCAAAACAGCCGTTCACATCTTCATAAAGTTCGGCGTTGTTTTTCGTTGTTTAAACGTACTTCACTTAAAAAATTGGGAGAAATTCATGCCATAGCAATTAATTTGTATAAATTGTTATTCAAAAAATATTTTTAAGGCAAAGTATGCCTTCGTTTCTTATTACCAAGTTTTAATATGCAATGCTCTTAAATTTTAACACGATATCAAGAGACAGGCTTAGTTTGAATCTGCCAAAACCCTTTCTTCTGGCCTACATCC